GTCCGTCATGGCAGGGAGGCATGGGGGCAGAGGTGGCTGGAGTAGGAGCAGCAGAAGATAAGCTCTCACATCATCACACAGGCACAGGAAGCAAGAGAGTGACTGGAGATCTGGCAAGGCTTATGATCTCTCTCTAAGCCCACCCCCAGTGACATGCTTCCTCCAGGGTAGCCACACATTCTAAAACCTCCCAAAACAGCACCATCATCTGGGGAAAAAAATGTCCAAATACTTGGTGCTTTTGGGGGACATTTTCATTCAAACCACTACATTCCACCCCCTGGCCCCCAATGGCTCATGACCATAAAAAATGCAAAATACATTTAGCCCAACTTTAAAAGTCCCTGTAGTCATTATCAGTCTCAATACTATTCTAAAGTCAACAGTCCAAAGTCTCTTCTGAGAATCAGGTAAATATCTTAACTGTAAGCCTCTTTAAAATCAAAAGACAAATTACATATTCCCAACGTACAATGGAACCAAATACACATTACCATTCCAAAAGGGAGGAATGGAGGCATAGTAAGGAAATACTAGACCAAAACAAGACTGAAAACCAGCAGGGAAAACACCAAATCCCGTAGGTCCACGTCCAACTTCTGGGACTTTACTTCCAAAGGGCTTAGATGGCTCAGCCTCTCTAGCTTTGCTGCTTGTAACACACATCTCTCTCTTGTGCTGGTACCACTCCCTGTGTGCAGGTCTTCTTGGCAGATGCCTCACAGCTCTGGCATCATGGGTATCTTCTTGGGGTCTCCATTGCCAACCAGGCTTCACCTTCACAGCTTCACACAATGGCCTATCAGGGCCTTCTCTATGCAGGAGTACCCCTGCTTCATGCTGCCTGGCCTCAGTGGCTCTCTGAAACCACGGAGGAAGAATTGATGACCCCTTCATTCTTGCATCTTTCATGCCTGTAAAGCCAGCACCAGGTGAACGACACTGCCAAGTTTGACTGCAAGTTTGGGATGGACTCTGGCCTGCTTTATCCGTTTCTAGAAGCTTTTCTCCTTAGTGGTCCCTGCAGCATTTTCCTTTCACAAATTGGAGGCTTAACTGGGTGTGGTCTTGCCCTGGAGGTGCTCTCTGCATTGTTTAAGTGAGAATCTCTTGGCCCCTCCTTAATCACTTTAACTTCCTTATCAAAGGGATCCTCTCCAGCACATGCCAGGGCTCCAAAAATAATCTTCCTAGTGGTCTTTTTCAACCCATCCTGTACATTCTGTCCTAGTGCTCTTTTTCAATCCAAACTGTATTTCTATCTGCCCCATTTGCTCTTTTTCGCTGTAAATCTGTATAATATTCACCATTAGTATCTATGCCACCGTTTCAACATTAGGCTATCTTGAAATTTCTTCCACCAAATAAATTAGTCCATTACTTTTCAACTTAGCCTCAGGCAAGCTTTTGGTCTAGGGCAGACTCCAGCCAGACTTTCTGCCAAAATATTCCAAGTGCTGCTTAAGTCCTTATTTCCCTCTGAAACTCCATTGTTTTCAGTACTACTTTCTTTCAGGCACCTACTAGAATGGCCTGTTAAGCTCTGTTTACAGCAATCAACCAATTTTCTAGCTCAGCCTTCCAAAGTCTTGCACATTTCTTCAAAACCCTACATGGTCAGGTTCTACATAGCCAACAGCCCACTCTCTGGTACCAATCACTGTATTAATCACTTTTCTGTTGCTGTTATAGAAACACTGACCAAAGCAATTTATAGAAGGAAGAGTTTATTTGAGCTTATGGTTCCAGGGGAATTATAGTCCATCATGGTAAGGAGGCATGGTGGCTGGAGGTGGCTGGAGCAGGAGCAGCAGAAGTGAAGTTCTCACATCATCACGCAGGCACAGGAAGCAAGAGAGTGGCTGGAGATCTGGCAAGGCTTAAGAACTCTCTAATCCCACCCCCAGTGATGTGCTTCCTCCAGCATGGCCACACCTCTAC